TAATATATTCTGCATGCTCTCACTGTAACAAGAATATATGATTCTCTTTTTCTAGCAATTGCAAAAGTATATTGTCTTCTTATACTGAGGTTCATGGTGAATGTGGCATGTTAGACACAGGAGTCTGTCACCTGGGTAGTACTCAGTCTTTCTTGATGGAGATACATCATGATTATACAGGTGTTTGTTGTTGTTGTTCAGTCACTAAGTTGTGTCTGACTCTTTGTGACCCCATGGACTGTAGCACACCAGGCTCCTCTGTCCTCCACTAGTTGCCAGAATGTGCTCAGATTCGTGTCCATTGACTCAGTGATGCCATCCAACCATCTCATCCTCTGCTGCCCCTTTCTCCTTTGGCCTTCCGTCTTTCCCAGCATCAGGGTCTTTTCCAGTGACTTGGCTGTTCACATCAGGTGGCCAGAGTATAGGAGTTTCAGCATCAGCCCTTTAAGTGAGTATTCAGAGTTAATTTCATTTAGGAGTGACTGGTTTGATCTCTGTGCAGTCCAAAGGACTCCCAAGAATCTTTCTCCAGCATAGCAATTCAAAAGCATGAATTCTTCAACACTCAGCCTTCTTTATGATCCAACTGTCACATCCATACATGGCTACAGATAAATCATAGCTTTGACTATTCAGACCTTTGTCAACAAAGTGATGTCTCTGCTTTTTAGTACACTGTCTAGGTTTGTCATGTCTCTGCTTTTTAGTACACTGTCTAGGTTTGTCATAGCTTTCCTTCCATGGAGCAAGCGTCTTTTAATTTCATGGTTGCAATCACCATCCACAGTGATTTTGGAACCACAGAAAATAAAATCTGTCAGTGCTTCCACTTTTTCCTCTTCTATTTGCCATAAAGTGATGGGACTGTATGGCATGATCTTAGTTTTTTGAATGCTGAGTAAAACTCAACTCAAGCCAGCTTTTTCACTCTCTTCTTCCACCCTCATCAAGAGTCTCTTTAGTATCTCTTCGCTTTCTGCCATTAGAGTGGTGTCATCTGCATATCTGAAGTTGTTGATATTTCTCCTGGCAATCTTGATTCCAGATTGTAACTCATCCACCCTGGCATTTCCCATGATGTACTCTGCATAGAAGTTAAATAAACAAGGTGACAATATACAACATTGTCTTACTCCTTTCTGAATTTTGAACCAGTCCATTGTTCCATATCTGGTTCTAACTATTGCTTCTTGACCTGCATACAGGTTTCTCAGGAGACAGGTAAGGTGGTTTGGTACTCCAGTCTTTTAAGAATTTTCCACAGTTTATTGTGATCCACACAGTAAAAGGCTTTCATATGGTCAGTGAAGCAGAAATAGATGTTTTCTGGAATTCCCTTGCTTTTTCCGTGATTCAAGGAATGTTGGTAATTTGATCTCTGGTTCCTTTCCTCTTTGAAACCCAGCTTGTACATCTGGAAGCTCTCCATTCACATACTCTTGAAGCTTAGCTTGAAGGATTTTGAGCATAACTTTGCTAGCACATGAAATGGGTGCAGTTATATGGTCGTTTGAGCATTCTTTTACATTACTCTTCTTTGGGATTGGGATAAAAATTGACTTTTTCCAATCCTGTGGCCACTGCTGAGTTTTCCAAGTTTGCTGACATATTGAGTGCAGCACTTTAACAACATCATCTGTTAGGGTTTAAATGGCTGAAATTCTATCACCTCCACTAGCTTTGTCCATAGTAATGCTTCCTAAGGCCCACTTGACCCTCCAGAGTATCTAGCTCTAGGTGAATGACAACGTCACTGTAGTTATCCAGGTCGTTAAGATCTGTTTCGTATTATTCTTCTGTGTATTCTTGTCACCTTTTCTTAGTCTCTTCTGCTTCCATTAGGTCCTTCCATTTCAGTCCTTTATCATGCCCATCCTTGCATGAAATGTTCCTTGATGTTTCCAGTTTTCTTGAAGAGATTGGTAGTCTTTCCCATTCTGTTGTTTTCCTCTATTTCTTTGCATTTTTCACTTAAGAAGGTTTTCTTATCTTTCCTTGTTATTCTCTGGACTTCTGCATTCAGTTGGTTATATCTTTCCCTCTCTCTTGCCTTTCACTTCTTTTCTTTCTTCATCTGTTTATTTGTAAAACCTCATCAGGCAACCACTTTGGCTTCTTGCATTTCTTTTTGTGGGGGATGATTTCAGTCACTGCCTCCTGTACAAACTTACAGGAGTTTGTATAAACTTACATGCATAGTTCTTCAGGCACTCTGTCCACCAAATCTACCAGGTATGCATGCATGCCTTATTTTATTGTGTTTTTTTATTTTCCATAAATTGAAAATCTGGCAGCCCTGTGTCAAGTAAGTATATCAGCACCGTTTTTGATGATAGCATTTGGTCACTTCATGTCTTCTATGTCACATTTTGGTGATTCTCACAATATTTCAAACTTTTCCCGTTGTATTTAATTTGTATTATTTTTCTTTGATGTTGCTATTACAAAAAGATTACAACTTGCTAAAGGCTTGGGATGATGGTTAGTATTTTTTTTTTAACAGTAAAGTATTTTTTAATCAAAGTATGTACTTTTTTTAGGGATAATGCTATTGCACACTTAATAGAGTACAATGTAGTATAACTTTTACATCCACTGGGAACCAGAATATTCCTGTGCCTTGGTTTATTACAATACTTAGTTTATTGCAGTGATCTTAACCAGAATTTGCCTGTATTTTCAAAATATGCGTGCATCTGGAAACATTTCTAAATACATTTTATTACGTTTAACAAAAATTCACAGGAGTAATTTATTCACTTGAGCCAGTAAAATAGGTTGATATTCAGCTTTATGTTGTATGTGGCTGATGTATTTTTAGAGTGGTTTTTCCATTCATTCAAGAATAATTGTGTCTTCCTTGTACCTGATGCTATAATCTTTCTAGAATGCAAATTCATTTGATACTTCATTCACAAATTTGGCAACTTTGATGTATGTTTAGTATAACATCAGGTACTCAGCAAGACTGGAGGGGCATCCTAAGTTTTCAGACACATAAATAAGATTTCCATAGAAAAATCTTTCAAAAATGTATCAGATACTTTAATAATGGTAGGAGAAACATGTTTCTGCATGTGAATGATGGAGAGTTAAAATGGCTGGAAAACTGCCTGTCACAAGACAGATGTTACTTACTCATCCTCAGGCATTTAGTCTTAATGCTTTCTGGGTAGCATTGCTTGTCTCTGAAAATGTTGGAGATGATTTCTTCAGAAATAACTTACAGATCTGCAGTATCTTTAGAGGAACAAAGGAGAAAAATATTTAAAATTTTTAAAATATTTTAAAATATATAGTTTTCTGTATGAAGCATGTAAGAATCAGGGTTAGCACATCAAATAGTTAAAAGAGAAATCAGTGATAAGAGAAGAGCTTTAAAACTAAGCTCAAAACCCAAGCACAGTGTTTTGGTTTATTTTTCTTGTGTTCTAATATAAAATTATAGAAAGGAAAGACAATAATTTAAAGAAATGCATATTATTTTTGTAAGCCCCTCATTCTGTTTTGGTAAGAGTAACTGAAGCAAAAGATCTCTGATGAGTTCTCCTTTTTTGTTTGGCTTAGCCACCTCTGGTTAGGACATGTCAGCTGTTGCACTCTTTTGCTGCCTTTCTGATAATGTTGGTAATGAATGAACCATTAAAGATGAATGTAATTCTCATCTCATTTGAATATCTTTACCTAATTAACCCCCAACAGAATCTTCTTTCTTGAAATCTGTAAAACATAGTATCTTTCCTACTTACTCATACCACTTATATGTTACCTTCAAAAATTCTCTTTTCTTGACATATTTTATCTTCCAGCTGGACTGTTAGCTCTTTCGGGTAGGAACTATTTTATCTACTTCTTTGGGCTTCCCTTGTGGCTCAGCTGGTAAAGGATCCACCTGTAATGTGGGAGACTAGGGTTCAATCCCTGGGTTAGGAAGATCCCCTGGAGAAAGGAAAAACTACCCACTCCAGTATTCTGGCCTGGAGGATTTCAAGAGGGGTTGCAAAGAGTCAGACACAACTGAGCGACTTTCACTTATATTCCCAAACCTTCCATGGTACTTGAACGTAGAAGACACTCATTCTGTCTAAAATTATGATGATGATTTAGGAAAGAGGGCTTCCCAAGTGGCGCTAATGGTAAAGAACCTACCTTCCAATTCAGGAAACATAGAGATGCCTTTCAGTCTCTGCGTCAGGAATATTCCCTGGAGAAGGAAATGGCAACCCACTCCAGTATCCTTGCCTAGAAAATCCTATGGGCAGAGGAGGTTAGTGGGCAATGGGTCTCAAAGAGTCGGACACAACTAAAGCGACTTAGGACACAGCACACACACATCATGCCTGAAGATTTCACAGAAGGCTCAGTGGTAAAGAATTCACATGCCAAACAGGAGATGTGGGTTCAATCCCTGGGGCAGGAATATCCCCCAGAGAATGAAAAGGCAACCCACTCCAGTATGCTTGCCTGGGAAATCCATGGACAGAGGGGCCTGGTGGGCTGCAGTCCACAAGGTCGCAGAGTGTCAGACCAAACTTAGTGACAGAGAGTAAAGAGAGAGAGATCATACCTGAACTGACAGCATGCAAGGCACATCTCCAGATGCGCATCTTCAGCTCACAGCAGTTTCTTTCATTTTATGATAAAAACAGAACAGAAAAGTGGGATAATTCTTTGGAGTACAAAAGCCTTAAGTTGTTTATTTCCCTGCTTTCATTAAAATACTTTGTTTCAGAGGGCCTACTGTCTAGCTTAGGGAACTCTGCTCAATGTTACATGGCAGCCTGGATGGGAGGGGAGTTTGGGAGAGAATGGACATATATGAATGGCAGCGTCCCTTTGCTGTCCACCTGAAGCGAGCACAACATTGTCAATCAGCTATATTCCAATACAAAATAAAAAGTTTAAAAAATAATAGTAAAATACAATAGTAAACTTTTTAAATGCTTTGTTTCACACTTGAAAAATGACCTAATCCATCACTTTCTGCCTCTTAACAGGATGGAAATTTCTCTCTCAGTACTGTTCTTGAAAAACCTCAAAATATGATGGTGGTGGGACAGTCAGCATTTGCCGACTTTGGTAAGATTGTTTTCGTCTTTGAAAGTCTCCCTGTCTCTCCTACCTAGTCATATTAATTCATTATATCTGAAAATAACTTTAATATCTTCAGATCAATTAGAGATATAAAAGATGTCTATCATAGGATTGGGGCTTCCCAGGTGGCACAGTGATAGTCTACTTTCTAATTCAGGAAACACAGGAGACTCAGGTTCAATGCCAGAGTCGGGAAGATCTCCTGTAGTAGGAAATGGCAACCCACTCCAGTATTCTTGCCTGGAAAATCCCTTAGACAAAGGAGCCTGGCAGGCTACAGTCCATGGGGTAGCAGAGTTGGACACAACTTAGCAACTGAGCACACACATACATGCGATAAGTGACATATTGTCAGGTCTTTCCTATTGGGTTGGCCAAGTTCCTTCAGTTTTTAAGTAAAAACACATTTCCGTTTTTACCAAGAACTTATTGAACAGCATATTCACCTTTTTGTTCCACTACCTTCTGCCATTTTTCAGGCAACTTCATAATTCCACTTTCCCAAAAGTTTTTCTTTTTAAGCAAAGAACGCTTCTAGGTACCTTTTACAGTCTTCCAGGGAATTGAAATGTTTTCCTTTAAGAGAATTTTGGAAAGACTGAAATAAATGGAAATCCAAGGGTACAATATCTGGTGAATACAGCAGACAAATGAGAACTTACCAGCCAAGCTGTAACAGTTTTTGCTGGGTCTTCAAAGAAACATGCAATCGTGCATTATCCTGCTGGAGTCTGTGTTTTCTGTTGACTGATCCAGATGCTTTTCTTCAAGTGCTGCTGTCAGGTGGTCTCATGGGAAGCAGTACTTGTTGGACTAATTGTTTGGTTTTCCAGAAGGAACTCATAATAGAAGACTCCCTTCTAATTCCACCACATACACAGCATCACCTTGTTTGGATGAAGACTAGCCTTTTGTGTGGTTGGTGGTGTTTCCTTTTACTTGCCTCATGATCTACTCTGTTCCCTGTTATTGTACACTATCCACTTTTCATTGCCCATCAACAGTTTGTTTTAGAAACAGAACATTTTTGTTATATTTAAGTAGAGAATTGCATGCAGAAATATGGTTAGTGTTTTTTTTTTTTTTCCCACTTAGATGGAACTCAAACATGAAAGCAATAACCACAACCAAGCTGGTGCAAATGATTTCCAGTACTCCATTTGGATTATTATTGGTTTGTTTGGTTTTTTTGGCCACCCTGTGCAGCATTCAGGATCCTGGTTTCCCAACCGGGGATCAAACTCATGGCCCCCTGCTTTGAAGTGTGGAGTCTTAACACTGGACCTCCAGGGGAGTCTTGATTGGGGTATTTTGAGTATGTCAGTTATCTCCCGTGAGGTATTACATTGATTGTTCTCAGTTAATGTCTCTATTTGACTGCTGTCAGTGTCCACAGGTCTACCAGACCATGGCTTATTGTCCAATGAGAAATCTCCAGCAAGAAATTTGCAAGCCACTTTTGACATGTTCAGTCAGTCACACCACCTTGATACAGTGCACAATTTTTTTTTTTTTTTTTGCTTTTCAGCTGGTTTTTACCTTTCTTGAAATAATAAAGCATGATATACCAAAAATGTTGCTTGTTTTCTTCCGTCTTTAATATTAATGTAGCTACACAAAAATTCACCAATTCTGATGTTTTTTAAAATGCACACTGATGTGACAACTGTCACAATATAATCTAACAAAATTGTTTCAAATGAAATGAATGATAACTAAGCACTACTAGACCCATCTTATGGAAAAAGCTGAAGGACTATTTTGGCCAACCCAATACAATAAAGAACAATTTATGACATGTGTTTAAATTACAGTTTGAATTTAAGGGACTCCTCTTTGCAGGAGTAGCCTGCAAAACAAGAATATCTACTAAATGTTCTCTAAAGACTATCAACTAGTAATTATCATAACATTTTTATGTTTATCCACCTTATGAAACAATGAAAAAAAAATTGAAAAAATTAAGCTGACCTCTTGAAACTACTTGAATATTAAAAAACATTTCTGATTTACATCTGAATTCCAAAGAAGAGTAATATTTGTTATAAATCTCTATATTCCATAAGAGTCTACACAATACATCAGGTTTAGAACTTCCACGAGGGTGGAGGGAGATGGGTTGGTAGCAATAAAGTTGTAGAACTAAAAAAAAAAAAGAACTTCCAAAACATATGTGGCTCTTTCAGAATTTGTCAGGGTTATTATCCAAAGGATTTTAGTGTTAGATTAAAAAATGGTCTAGATAGCCACTTCTAAGAATCCATAGCTCACTCCCATCCTGTTTTTCCTTCATTCTACAAACACCTCAGCCTGTTCCTCAAAATGCAAGTGACACCTTCCTACCTAGAAAGGCTTCAGTTTCTTTATTTATAAAATGAAAATGATTATAACCACCTTATGAGGCTACTGTGAATAACATAATGTGAGTAAAGCACAGTGTCAGGCCCATAGTAAATACACAGAAAATTATTGTATAATCTGAGTCTTTTTATTGGACATGTTTGGTCTGATTGTTGTTGCTGCTTTTTGCTCAGCTGACTAAATTATCTCATTGTTTAGTGTCATAGACATGTGTCCCATGGCAATTAAAGCAGGAGGTTTGATAGTGTTATCTGATGAAAATTTCAACATGAATCTTTCTATTGTACTGTATTTTACTTTTATTACATTGAACATTACTTTGCTTTTGAGCAGATTTCTGGGGCCCAGTTTATTATCTTTAATGCAAATAGTCAACTGATAGGATACATGCATGTTTCCTTTAATTTGCTGATGGACTTGATTAGCTGGATTAATGACAAGTCTCTCTGAAAGTCTCTCTAGGGAAAAAAGTTTATATGATTATATAATTCTCAGAAGACTAATACCTCCCTTAGAGTTCCAAAGAACAGACAGGAGAGATAAGAAAGCCTTCCTCAGCGATCAATGCAAAGAAATAGAGGAAAAAACAGAATGGGAAAGACTAGAGATCTCTTCAAGAAGTTAGAGATACCAAGGGAACATTTCAGGCAAAGATGGGTTTGGTAAAGGACAGAAATGGTATGGACCTAACAGAAGCAGAAGATATCAAGAAGAGGTGGCAGGAATACACAGAAGAACTGTACAAAAAAGATCTTCATGATCCAGATAATCACAATGGTGTGATCACTAACCTAGAGCCAGACATCCTGGAGTGTGAGGTCAAGTGGGTCTTAGGAAGCATCACTACCAACAAAGCTAGTGGATGTGATGGAATTCCAGTTGAGCTTTTTCAAATCCTGAAAGATCATGCTGTGAAAGTGCTACACTCAATATGCCAGCAAATTTGGAAAACTCAGCAGTGGCCACAGGACTGGAAAAGGTCAGTTTTCATTCCAGTCCGTAAGAAAGGCAATCCCAAAGAATGCTCAAACTACCGCACAATTGCACTCATCTCACACGCTAGTCACGTAATGCTCAAAATTCTCCAAGTCAGGCTTCAGCAATATGTGAACCGTGAACTTCCAGATGTTCAGGCTGGTTTTAGAAAAGGCAGAGAAACCAGAGATCAAATTGCCAACATCCACTGGATCATAGAAAAAGCAAGAGAGTTCCAGAAAAATATCTATTTCTACTTTATTGACTACAACAAAGCCTTGGACTGTGGATCACAATAAACTGTAGAGAATTCTGAAAGAGATGGGAATACCAGACCACCTTACCTGCCTCTTGAGAAACCTGTATGCAGGTTAGGAAGCAACAGTTAGAACTGGACATGGAACAACAAACGGGTTCCAAATAGGAAAAGGAGTACGTCGAGGCTATATATTGTCACCCTGNACTCCGGGAGTTGGTGATGGACAGGGAGGCCTGGTGTGCTGTGATTCACGGGGTCGCAAAGAGTGGGACATGACTGAGCGACTGAACTGAACTGAACTGAACCTGTGGTTGCTGCTACCGCTGCTGCTGCTGCTGCTAAGTCGCTTCAGTCGTGTCCGACTCTCTGCGACCCCATAGACGGCAGCCCACCAGGCTCCGCCATCCCTGGGATTCTCCAGGCAAGAACGCTGGAGTGGGTGCCATTTCCTTCTCCAAGGGTCCTCCAAATCTCAGATATTTATTTTCTGACTGTATGTTTTGTATGATGCAGTGCTTTGCTTATAACAAAGTTGTAAGTAACTTTAAAGATTTTTTTAATTGTACTAATGATAAACATAGACATTTACCTGTTTGTAGTGTTTCAGTGTGCAGAATATAGGATATAGTTAGCTAAATATAACTTTCTCCCCTTTCCCATAAAGTTTTTCATAATTTTATGTAGTATATCAGTAAACTTTTAAATATATCAGTAAATTTTAAATAAATAGCTCACACTGTCTTTTTAAAACTTGAAATATCTTTAGCTGCGTATTATCAAAAACAAGACTACTTATGTCTCCAAACAGATGGCATTGAATAAGGTTATGAATGTTAATATATAAAAATAGACTCTTTCCTATACGTTTGAATATGTCTATGATTTGCATCCTGCCCTCCATCCTCCACCCCTCCCACTCCTTTTGAACTAAGGTGCAAGGAAAATGATTGACAGCCAAAAAGGCAGCAAGATATCAGAAATTTGCCATTTCATAGGAAAAACAAAAAAAGCACATGCTTAAATAAATGATACAGTTCACAGGAAGAATCCTATACTGAAAGGAGTTTTAAATGGCTCCCAACTCTCTTAAGTTGTCTAGGAACAGAAGTTTTGGGGGTATTTTTTTTAACCTATGGTGAAGTTTTTATCTTCCAATATAAAATATTTTTTAAAAGAGGTCAGAAAACCTACTCTAAATTTAGACTTTGCTGGTATAGTAAGAGAGGGTGATTTGAAATCAAACAAATCAGGAATTTTGGGGGGTAAAACAAGGAAATAGTTATTCATACTTATGATAACATTATCTTTTCCCTTTGTAAGACAAAGAAATACTTTCCCAAAAATTAAATAAAGCTATGAAATTTTGTACAGGCAAAAAAAATAATTATCA